GTGCATTTACACTTGCATTTGTATGTGGCTTAGATGCAAAGTTGTCAAACTGAGTATCCGAAGTATTTCAAGTGACCAATTTGTTACGGGACGTAACTTTACTGTGATTGTTCCTCTCTGGCAATGTGACGGTTTAGGCATGAAGACTTAAAAAAAAAAGGCAAACATGACTGCTCCCTCTTAAATTTATTACACCATCATTCTTAATGTTATATAGCTTTTACATTCATTTTAGAGTCATCTACAGGTCTGTTCATAATTTTGGAGATATCTAAAATTTCTTTTTTTTTATTCACAGCTTCCTAGTTTTCTACTTTTCATTTAAAAGGACACAGCTTATGTACACATTACCCAAGATTAGGACTGCCCAGTTTACATCAAGAGTAGAGAATCCTGGTAAAAAAAAATATCGGCCATCCACTTGAGAATTGGATATTTAAAAGGTTTTTAAATCATTATTAAACATAGCAGTATGTCAAAACACCTCATAAATACAATTTGACACTAGAGTTCTTCATCTTTAATTTTTTTTCTATCAGCTTCTGCCACTACATGCTATGTCATAAAAAAACATCATTGGCAAAGTGACTTAAGGAACAATTTTTCAAAAATAAATATAGCACAAAATGCCAAAGAGTCATTTGTAATCCAGATGAATCTGATGATTTTAAGGGGGTTGAATACTTTTGCAAGGCACTGTGTATGGAGCTGGTCCTACAGTACCACTCACACACCAAGCTGACTGTTGGGTGTGACTGGGCCCTTAATCTATAAGAACCTACAGATCAGCTCAAAGTCCACATAATCATATGTTTTAGCATATAAAATTAGCTCGATAAATAAAATTTTATGTCTCAAATATAAGTAGATTGCTTTATGTTGCTTCATGTGTTAAGTAATATTCGAAAGTTAGATAGATAGATAGATAGATAGATAGATAGATAGATAGATTTTTATTGTCATTGTTAAAAAACAATGAAAAACCATTCAGCAGCTCTAGAATTGACAGCACAGACATAAACAAAAAGAAAATAAAGATAAACGCGGCCAAGACAAATATAAACACAATAAGATAGTATACACAAACATACTGGTGCAAAATGGGATGATATGTAGTGCAAGATGACAGATATCTCAGTCTCAGTCTAGTCTCAGTCTTAGTCCTACGAAGGAGAGGGAGGGGAGGAGGAACTTATGCATCTGACCACCTGTGGGAAGAAGCTGTTTGTTTTTTTTTTGTTTGTTCTGATTGATCTGAATCTCTTTCCTAAAGATAGGAGGGAAAACAGGTTATGTCCAAGGTGAGTGGGGTCCTTATTCCAATATATTGGTCTGAGAATGCAGTATGTCGTGTAAAACTGTCTAGGCAATCATGTATGATTGCATACACATTGTATTCGTTATATACTGTATTGTAATGAGACCAGAATGAATATTTCATTCTGAATTCTTTTACCACATTTTGAACTGCTTAAAAAAAATCAAATGGGAAACTTTAATCAAAAGAGGGGGCACCCGGATTTGAACCGGGGACCTCTTGATCTGCAGTCAAATGCTCTACCACTGAGCTATACCCCCTGGCGGCAAAACTCGGTTTTCTGACCTTTTTGTATCTACGACAATGATGGACTGTACTTATGATATTCAGGGTTCTGTTTCTCTGATTATCGTCACTGAACCAAAACAACCACCATTATAGTAGCCCGTATCCACCAATTTCTTTTCTCATGCTGATTACAAATATATTTACAGTTAACTTACTCGGGACATCATCTAAGCAGATAGGGAAATAATCGGAGTCTCCAATGGGAATTTCACCGATTTTTCACAATATCTGCATAATTCAGCCGTTGAGACCTAAAACAAAGTCATTCAGTGTGATTTCACGTGACATCCAACACAAAACAGTTGTGCTGTAATAGTCAGGTATTCTGCTCTTTGTTCATTACTGTTTGTAAAAGCCGGTGTTGGAGGAGAGGGCGTTTCACTGCGGCCCCTTCTGTCGTTAAAGCGTGTTTGATTCTTGTTAGTTGTGAACAAACGTGATCCAGAGTCGGATTAAGGGGGCCTGTCCACTTTAAATTTCTACTGTTATATCAAAACATGACTGCAGAAAACTCCACAGGTTTTCTGACTATCTGTGCTTCCTTTAATTTTGGAAAGTAGAAGTTTGTATTCCATTCAGAAATTAAAGAAAACTTACCAGCATCTTTCCGCTTTACTGCCGCAAACAAGCTTAGGGCAGTGGGTCGTTACCGCTACTGCTACTGAGTGCTGATTGTTTAGCATTACTGCTACTGAGTGCTGATTGGTTAGTGAGCTGATCAGCTCATTGTCTGAGTAAATCGGGCTCGCTGACGTGCACGAGGCACTCTTATAAAGTCCTGTCCATGGTTTTCTTCTATGCTCAATTCCAGTTGCCATTCGGATGTTCTCTGAGAGTAACGATGCCAACGAATTGTCTCAGAAGCACAGGAACAGTATGTGCTATCACGGGGTGTCACAACAGCTATCGAAGCTTAAAACGATGTTAGAAAATGTTACGAACACAAAAGCCAGCACAGATCTGGATGTCAGTGTCCCAGGCCGTTTGCATTGCACACGATGCGAAAGGAAGGCGGTGCCAAAAGAGCATCGCTAGCGGCACTGAATTTACACCCCGTCCCCGAATTATTTATGTTTGCTCCTTCCATTTTATGGATAAAAAAACCTTGCAAATCCGTATCCTGACTTTGGCTTGGATATGATCGCCAAGTTAAAAAGAAGAGAGGAGGACTTTACCGTGCAAACCAAAGTAAGATATCTGTAATAACTAGCGCTAGCTACCAAACAGCTAATGTTAACCCGCTAGCTAGCTCACTGTAACCTAGCTAATGCGCTTAGCCACAAAACAGCTACCCTAACTCGGCCAACAGAATGTAAATAAAGCGGCTAACGTAAAAACACTCGTAAATTTAATTAATGCTCCCTCTATTTTAATGTTTTGGCTGTCATATGAGTCACCTGTTAAGTTGGCTTTCTTTTGCAGACTGTTTGGGTGTTGGGTCTGTAAATATTTTTAAAGACAGCTATTTGTGAGGACTTGGGGGGTTATCTAGCGTTTCTGGCACTGTGTTGTTGTTTAGAGTATTTTCTTATTTCCATGGGAAATGTTCTCATATTGCCGTCACAGATTGATCATAGGTGTCGTGGTTTTAACCCCTTATTCCCCAGGCTTATAATTCAGTACACAATTATACACGAATCACTACTACATAATAACTACTATGAATTTTTTAGTCACTACTGCAAAATTGGTATGCAAGTTATTGAATTATTTGAGTGAGGAATTTAAGTGTGGAACTACATACAGATTCCTAAGTGGTTAAGGGTCTGTTAGGGCATTAAGCCTAGTGCTATACTAAACTGTGATGTCAATGGTGTTTCACCATTAAAATTCGATTTAGTCTAGGTGTAGTCTTAATCTTAAGAGATAGTAGTTGCTAAAAAAAACTGAATAGTTGCCTTAATAGCCTCAAGATCAATGATTTATTATGAGCTTTTAATAAAAAGAAAATTCTAATTAAAAATTATAGAGCTTTACATCACTGATTAAGGACTCTCATTTCTTTAAATGTTTTCCTAGGTGTCACATCATGCAGCTCTGCTGGATTTGCCAAAGAAAATCACGTAGTTGATCAGTCAAATATCCTGAATGATCAGCTACATTACAGTCATCAGGAGGATCATCCCAGAGCAATCCTAAAAGATTTAGTCTCTGTTGGAACTCAGTGGGAGGGCCCCATTTTGGAGGAACACAATTACACCTCAAAAAACAAATGACAAGGTGACAGCAGACCAGTCAATGCAGTGCAGTCTCCAGAAACCAATCCTGGCAAGTGATCTGGATTCAAATTTGTATACTGGACTGCCACTCCACACATTTCAAATCCTCATAACTGTTCTGAGGCACAGGGTTCAAAAGAGTTCAAAACCGTTTGAAAAAAAAAACAGCAGTGTTGAAATATTTTATGCTGTTCTGTGTTGAGGAAGTAGTGCTTTTTCTACACAAAACATTGTTAAACATTTACAAACTACAGTTGGCACCCGTTCATTTTGGGCTCGCTCTAGAGCGCTGTCCAGCATTTGATAAACCCAGAAGGCATTATTGAATGGCAGGTCTTCTCGCTACACATTGTCTGGTTTAGTTTGAGTTTTGCTGCTGTGCATTTAGCCGTTGGCATTTTGGTTACATTTAGGAATGTGATTTTATTTTGAACAACCAAGTACACTGTCAGGCTCTCACATCTGTAACTGTTCACAGACAAAAAAAGGTTAAACAGACTTATAAAAAGGAAAACATTTTATTATTATAAAATAAACAGACTTTACAAGAAGTTCAGTGCAGAAATACACATATGAAAACCAACAAACTATGACTGTAGGCCAATCAGGAGCAAAATGGCTTTTATTATAGTGGAGATGGCCTTTAGGAAGCACCCAGTGCAAAGTGTCTAGTGGTCAGTGCAAGATGTCAGCGTGGCGTGCAGAGAAACCAGGGAGGAAGGTCGCTGAATGACAGGGAAGAGGTCATCGTCGGAGGTGATGAGGATGAGGTCCAAGGTGAGGCGATGCTAGGCTGGTGAGAGGCGCGAAGCTTGGTCGGTGTGAAATCATAGATAAAAGACAGAAGGATATTTGATGGGATTTAAGATGGGAATAACGAGGAGTTTCAGGCACAGTCTTTCCCCCAAATTTCAGTTATTTTGCAGCTTCGTTTAAATTTTTGAGCTGAATCCTGAGTGTGAATTCTTCTTAACTACCCACCTCCAAACGTTTCATAACCTGGAACAAAAAAAAATGCATTAGCTACCAGTAGAAGAACTTCTGAAGCTTTAAATCTTGAACATTTTATTCTTAATTTTCACTTCCATATAGAGGTGATATAGAGAAAAGAATATATTATGATACATTATATGTATTAGGATATTTTGTGATTATGATAGGTTGTCATGTTGCACCTGAACCAATCATGCAGCTTGATTTGCTCCAAATTAGGCCTCCTGGTGGGGCTGTACTGCAGACACCAGCGAATCAGATTGCAGCATTCTGTGAGAGGGATGGGATTGGATGAGAGAAGCATGTTTCACCACTAAATTTCAGAAGGAATATCATGCAAGTACACTATTAAAAACGTCTACATTTAGGGACACCTGGCCTCTTCAGTTTTTACTCTGCAAATTTACTTCCAGCTATAGATTTCTTCTTCAATTTCTTTTCCTCTGCATTACTTAACACAGGTAAAAGTGAGAGCCAGTGGTGGTTCTGTTATTTTATACCAGAATGCTCCCATTTATCTTACCATTGGATAGGCCATCTTTGAAGTACAGAAGCCCATCAATGATTTCCTTGTCCAGTCTAAAGGGAAGGTGTCCACAAACCAACCTGAACAGTAGGACACCTAGAGACCAAACTGTTGCAGGTTTGGCATGATACCTCCCCTCGATAAGGAACTCAGGAGGGCGGTACTCAAGTGTGCCTAAGGGTGATAAAAGTAAAATGAAAATACTAAGTCAAATATAACTGCAGTTGTAAATGTTCCTTCAGTAAAGGTACTAAAGATGTATGCTTGAGAATACAGCCCCAGTGACATGAGGTGTACCACCCCAGTGACAGTTTAGTACCTTTTTATCTGAGACTGTCCCTTACCGCCCTAAACTCCATCCTACCTGCAAATTCCTTATAACCAGTTTTCTTGATCCAATCTCCGCAGCCGAAGTCAATGAGCTTGACATCTGAGGTGTCGGTGTTGATCAATAAATTCTCTGCTTTGATATCCCGGTGGAAGACACATCTCTTGCAGCACTGGCACACTGCCTCCAGTACCTGGAGCATTATGGCACGAGCTCTGTCTTCATCAATGGAACCTCCAAACTCGTCAATGAAGCTCTCCAAATCCATGCAAGGATCTGGGCGCTCCAAGACTAGTATGTAGTGGTCAGGCTCGTCGAACCACTCGATGAGCTGTATTATATTCTTACAGATGGGTGGCTGGTTCATCATCTGCAACAGACCCACCTCCACAGGCACAGCCTTGGGTTCAACAGGCTGCAGGGGAGTAAACAGTTACATGGTGAGGAATTATCAGTGAAGAACACTGAAACTTATGGGGGTTTAGGACCATCATGTGTTATTACTAGTATGACTATCAGTCTAGCTTTGAAAGCAAAATCGTGTCTGCAGGTCCACTTACACTTTGAACAAATTCTTCATCTCCTGGCTGTTTTAAGATGATTTTGACAGCCACCTACACACAAAGACAAAAGTTATTAAGATTACTAGCACTGCAAGAAGAAGAGCAGAAATACGGACAATAAAAGTGTAATTTGAGGTGTGAGCAGAACCTGCAAGCCATCAGAAACGCGTCTTCCCTCGTAGACAGCTCCAAAGCCTCCTTCACCTAATTTTTCCCCAATAACGTAACGAGAGGCAAAGGTGTCTGTGGAAAAAGAACATTAAAACTGTACATTCACTCTTATTAGACCATTTATCATGAGTTTGTGAATCAGCATTTACTGGCTATAAGAATAGCGGTGGGGTTTAGTTTCTTAAATTACTGGCTAATCTGTAACTTGATTATTTGTATCATAATTATTTTGAATGAAGTGAAATAAAGTGTAGGTAATGGTTATGTTCTGGGTAATGGGCTGACCTAGCTTGGTGTCTTTCCTCTGTTTCTGGGTCTTCTTATTGAGCAAATTCACGGCCCTCTTTCTTTTCTTTCTTGCTGGAGCTCTTGTTTCAGGAATCTCGTTCGTTCCTTGTTTGTCATTCTGGCTCCAGCTCTCCTCTGTCCTTTTCCTTTTTGTTTTAGGGGCATCTGTAAACATGACGATTTGAAAAGTTACATAGAAGCAGTAAAGGTTCTACCACTGAACGTCTTTTTTGTGAGAAAAAAAACACACAGTGCTCTGATGTTTAATATATTGAGCTAGTGGCCATAAAATTTGCCATTTTTTTATCCCCAAGCCAAAATATTAAATCTGAACAGCAACCTTAATCATAAGACAACACAGCAAACTGACAGAGTTAGCAAAAAAAAAAAAAACTAAAACCAGAATCTATAGAATAACCTGTTGGTGCAGAGCTCTTCTCCATCGTGTTCAGCTATATGAACTAAACACTTTCCTCACTTTCCTTCACCAAATCTGACTCTAAATTGTGCTTTAGACGCGCTAATTTGTTGTGTTATTCTTATCGACCTGAGCAGAAATGTTAACATTCCGGCCTAGAAAGTTGATGTGACATCACACTCATGCATTATGACATCACAACTAGGGTGCTCTTTGGGGATGGCCGTTGCCATGGCAATGTTTAAAACTGCAGTTTGACATCTAGACTGTGGCCATGCTTAATGTGTTTGTATTTTAACAATTTTATTCTCAAAATACGAGAACTAAAGAGAAAAAAGCTCACAAGGATAGTAAACACTGGCATTATTTATATATCTTTGGATTTGTTTGTAAATTGTGAGTAAAACTGCTCCCCTCATGTAAAAAATGTAACATCAATTTTTTTAACAGTAGATGTTGAACTGTATTTCTGACTAAAAGCAGCTGATATCTGTAGGAAACAGGACCACTTCATATAGAGAGGCTGAGCTGTAGGCCTGTAAATCCACTAGGCCAGCTTACCACCCCACATTTAAATGACTAAACCAAATCATAGGCTCAGACTGAAATGTATCCCTCTCTGCATTTAGGGAACTGATCAGGACGCTGACCATTTGTCTCTTAGTGTCTAAATAATAAAATGAAATTCCACAGTGATGTTAAGGGGACACTGCAGTCTCCCACAATGCATGCACTCGTGGATTCTAATGAACACCAGTAATCAGTATGTCAGCTGAATCTGTACCAACATGCACTGTGAGTCTCTTACTAAGAGATGAACAGTCGAACATGAGGTGAAGTTAATGAGGGCCGCTAAGCCATTGAAAACAACCTATCAGACTCTCCTGAGTCCCAACAAAGACTCTAATGTATTCAAACTGCTGGAAACTGTAGTTAACTGCAATCATGGACCAAGACTTAAATGTGGAGCCTGTTCAAGTTTTGTGTTTTTATCCAAGCTTCATCCCCTCACTTTTCAAGACGTTATCTAATATCTACAGATACAAATAAAAAGCCAACTTCAGCATTGTCCAAACAGTAAATGCTGTGTGTGAACATATCATCTTAAGGTATAGCGCTCCATATTTACTGTAGTCTTTAAGTTTAAACCGTCTATTGTCTAGGCTATATTTTTCATGCAAAGACTGTAAATGACATTCTTAAATACACTGAAAGCACCGATAATATGTCTGTACATGTTTTATAAGAAAAGAACATTTAAGAATGTCATGCTACTTTCAACCAAGCACACTGTTGGGCTTGGGAAACAGTTGTTTACAGAGTTTAAACCTCATGCACACTCCTAAAAAGATGGCTCTTTAAGGGTCCTTTAGTAAAAGGAATGCTTCTATTTAGAACCATGAGTGCTATATTAAAGCTATTAGCCACAACAGGTTGTGCGTTACTGCGATTTTATCAGGGGAGTGGTCTAAAACTCCTTTCCCCATGCTAAAACTGCATTAAGGCACAGTCTCAAGTGGCTTATTGCTTTTATAAAACACACACTTTTCCAGAAAATAATTTTTTATTATTTTTTTTAGTTATTAATTATTAACTGTTGATTATGAATAATTTAAAAATAATAATAATAACACTAATTATTAGTATTGTTGTTGTTTATAATAATAATAATAACAACAATAATAATAATGTATATCATTAATATTATTATTAATATTATAAATTTTATTGATCATTATTATGAAGCCAAGAAATTTAGTACCTTTAGCATATGTTGCCATTGCCAAGCAACCAGGAACCATTGAAAGAGAAGAAGGATGATCATTTGGTCATCGCTGTATATTGCAGTCATTTAATTAACTTTTTATACTTTTGTCATGTAACATGTTGGTTTTTATTGCTGGTCAAAGGTCACATGCATTTAGTTGTGGATTTCAGCCTTGTACTTTAAATACATTGATTTCTCAGGGTTCCCAGAATCTTTTGATGTTATTATGCACCATTGAGGGCGAAATACCTACAATCCTTAAAGTAATTTGCTGAGGGACCTTATTTTTATTCTGTTTGATTTTTACTAATGCATTTTCGGCAAAGAGGCGATCCTCAGCCCAAGCCTTTCCTGAATAGACCTTTTATACCCAAATATAATTGCATCATAGTTTTAATTTGCTCATGTCCCAAGTGTTGCAAGCATCAGATTCAGAATGATTTTTCAAAATTTCTACATAATTCAGCTATGGAGACCTATAAAAAAAAGTCATTCAGTTTGGTTTCATATGACATTCAACACAAGACAGTCCTGTGCTGTAATAGTCAGGTATTCTGCTCTTTATTTATTATTCTTTGTGAAAGCCTGTGTTGGAGTAAAGGGCGTTTCACTGCAGCCCCTTCTGTCATTAGAGCATGTATGATTCCTCAAATGTCTCCTGTTATTCAAAACATGACTGCAAAACTCCACAGGTTTTCTTACTATTTGTGTTTGCTTTAATTTTGAAAAGTAGAAGTTTGTATTCCATTCGAAAATCACAGAAAACTTACCAGCATTTTTCCGTTTTGCTGCAGCAAACAAGTTTTGGGCAGTGGTTACCGGTGTTACCGTTACTACTACTGAGTGCTGATTGGTTGGTGAGCTGATCAGCTCATTGGTTGAGTGAATTGGGCTCACTGATGTCATGAACGTGCATGAGGCACTCTTATAAAGTAATATAACCAGTTCAAAAGTGCTCAAACATATAACAGCAGTGTATTTTATGCTGTTCTGTGTTGAGGAAATAGTGCAAAACATTAAATGTTTACAAACCCCAATAGACCACTGTAGCCATGTGTCATTCTGTAGTCTGCATTATGTCCATATTAGGAGCTCCGGGTCTAAGCTCAATTTCTCTATGGCCAGAATGAATAGGGTTTTCAAAAAAGGTCTCTTTTTTGAACCTTGTGTTCAATAAAAATGTTCAGAACCTGATACGTTTTGTCCTGTGTACATTGTTCTCCCGAATATCACTGGATCCTCTGAATTACGAGGTCATTAAAGAGCCTTAATACTAATGTTGCTACGTGCAAGCTAAAGTTACTGCGCATCAGTACGCACATATTTATAGGTATACCCGTAAATAAAACTTCTTTCAAAAAAATACCAGCAGCGTTAAAACTATGAGGCTAAATTTAGCTTCTTTTTCGCTGTTCCACTTTAAATGGTGCAGCATTTGTGATTAGCTATCACAAACATTAGCAAACGGGACAAACCAATACTGATCTGTTGGTTCTGTGAATCAGCAAAAATAAGGTAATGTTACTCAGCCGCGAAGCAGAAACAGAGCATCCTGCTCATATCATGCCTTTCAACTTTCCATGAAGCTAAAGTCAACTTCTTTTCGCCAGCTGCTTATTTTAATTTTCCTGTTCTACTGTACATGGGGCAACTACTGCACCTTTTAAGGTGGAACAGGAAAATTTGAAGAAGCTGCCGAATGTCCTGAGAAAATATCCTCAGAAAATGTTACCAGCTTTAAAATTATAATTAGGATATTTTGATAGACTGAATCAGTTTATCAGGGGGTGAGCAGTGATATTAAGCTGAGTCTGTACTGAATTAGCCTGAGTGCAGGTAAGTTTATAGAGCTTTTCAAATCAAGCTATGAACAAAATTGAAAGATCTGCTGTGTTTCAGTGGGTTTTAATGGAAGGGATTGAGGGAACATTTAAGTTAATCGCTTGCAGTTCGTACGCACATTTTCTTTTTTTTATGGTCACGATTTCTTAATTCGTTTCCATGATCAACAATTTCGTGCTCTCAATTTCTTTTAATCGTGCGGACATTTTCCTTAATTCATTCCCACTATTATTTGTTGTCTTGTTTTCTTTTAGGCATGCACACATTTTCTTTAATTCATGGGTACTTTATTTTTATTAAATCCCACAATTAACAATTCATTCTTTTGGGACATTGTAGCTTCCCTTGCACTGCAAAGCATCATCATCATCAGCATACAGCAGCTAAAGAGGATTCTTTAAGGGTCAGTGAAGTCTACCAGCTCTGCCACAATATACTGTGTTGAAAGTATGTTAATTTTATCAAATGCTAGTTAACACCCTTGCTCATATTTTATGTGTATCTACCATAAATTAAGCGTTGTAGAACTGCCTAGAGTCAGCTCATAGTTCTGATAAACTGGCTAGCTGAGCCACGAGCTGACTCCTAGCTTAGCTAGCTAGCTGACTGCTGTAGCAGAAAGATAATGTCAATACGGAGTAGATGTTAACGTTAAATATTTGCAGAATGTGCGTTACACTACACTGTATTTCAAATATTCTGTAATATACTGATGTTCATACTCAGGCAGATAAATGCCAATGTGTTAAATATGCTAAGCTAGGTTTTTGCTAAGTTAACTGGCAGAGAGCTGTTTATGGTTGCTTATGCTAGTGCTGGCATATGTCCACATTTGAAGTTTGAAACATGCCAAGTTTAACCCAGATACCCCGCAGCAAGTGGGGTGCAGACTAGCAGGTTTGGCCTTGCATGGGGCTGAAGATGCAGGTGTCCCCCTTGGTATGTTTGTGTTTGTCGAAGGCCGGATGCGGTGGGCATTCCAATCTCATTGAGTTCTTCCTGCAAATACAGTGCAGAAAGTGGAGGAGGTGGTGAAGTTTTTTTTTACATTAAACTTCTACCTTTCTTACAAATTGAACACATACCAAATAGCTTGGTGCAGGTGTATTGCTTACCTATCTAATAACAAGCAATAACCTATTGTAAACTCCTTTCATGAGAAACATTTTACAATAGGAGTTCCACATAGTCGGTTAGTTCAAATAAGTCTGAAATGAAGAATTTTGAGTTCTCTGTGGAGGTTTCAGAAACAAGCTGGAAGATCTGAGTAATAGATGCAATTTACTACTGTCTACAATGCATGAAGTAGCATGACATTTACATCACAGCTAATTATACTAATATTAAATAAGCTCTACAAGGAAAGTGGTTCATAAAACATTCATTACCTGAATGATTGCCATAAAGCAAAACTGCACTAGAGCTTTGTCCAAGAAATCGCCTCTGAACAGTCCTTTGTCTTTAAGTTCTCCAAACAGCTGGATCCAGTGCTCCATGCCTGCTTTCCACAGCTGCCCCCACCGGCTCTCAATTCGTTGATTTGCTGTGCTTGTTACTGTGATGTAGCTTCTGCCTCACCATCTTCGTTATCTTCATCATTCTGCCACAGATACATCTGAATGTCCCTGATCATCACATTCTCAGTGCCGATACCAGTACATACGAGCTGTGGACAACCTCCTGTGGATAACCTCCACCATGTGGACAACCTCCACCATGCTCTACTGCCTCTATAAAGCAAGTAACCTTGGGGTCGTTTTTGGTATAGGATGCCTTCAACCAAATAATCCTGCAGGAGAATCCATCGATACATCCATTAATACATATACCATGTGATTTGAGTCTCTCATATGAGTCGACGTGCCATATAAGATAGAGCCCTGAGAGAAATAGAGTCTTTGACTGAGACGACGTCTTTGGTGAGTTTGAGTTTGTTGGGTCAAGAAAAGCAAAGCATTTGACAAATCCAGAAGGCGTTACTGAATGGCATGTCTTACACATTCTCTGGGTTGGTTTGGGTTTTGCTGCTGTGCGCTGAGCCATCAGCATTTTTGATTAAATTTAGGAATTTGATGCTATTTTGAAGGACCAAGCCAACCTTGTGTTTTTTAGGTTTTTCTAATAATTCTGATCAGAAATAACATCAGAATTAAAGTGTTCTTATTGGACGGCTCCCTTAGTTACCATGTCTGCCAAACTTTTAGCTCAGGCTATCTGGTGACATCTGTAACTGTTAACAGAAGAATAGGTTAAACAGACTTATGAAAAGGAGAACATTTTATTATTATAAAATAAATAGACTTTACAAGAAGTTCAGTGCAGAAATACACATATGAAAGATGTAGGCCAAAATGGAGCAAAATGGCTTTTATTTTAGCAGAGATGGCCTTTGGGTAGCACCCAGTGCGGAGTGTCTAGTGTTCAGTGCAAGTTGTCAGCGTGGGGTGCGGAGAAACCAGGGAGGAAGGTCACTGAATGACAGGGAAGAGGTCATTATCGAAGGTGATGATGTTGAGGTCCATGGCGAGGCGATGCTAGGCTGGTGAGAGGCACAAAACTTGGCCTGTGTGAAATTGTGTCATAGAGAAAGGACAGAAAAACATTTATGGGATTTAAGATGGGGAGGTAGGAGGAGTTTCAGGCCCACTCCATTTAAAATTTTGAGCTGAATCCTGAGTGTGAATTCTTCTTAACTAACCTCCTCCACACATTTCATAACCTGGGACACAAAAATCTGCATTAGCTACCAGTAGAATAACGTCTAAAACTTTAAATCTTAAACATTTTAATCTTAATTTTCACTTCCATATAGAGGTGATATAGAAAAAAGAATATATTATGATACATTATATGTATTACGATATTTTGTGATTATGATAGGTTGTCATGTTGCACCTGAACCAATCATGCAGCTTGATCTGCTCCAAATTAGGCCTCCTGGTGGGCTTGTGCTGCAGACACCAGCGAATCAGATTGCAGCATTCTGTGCAGAGGGATGGGATTGGGTGTGAGAAAGATGTTTCACCACTAAATTTCAAAAGGACTATCCTGCAAAGTACACTATTATAAACATCCACATTTAGGGACACCTGGCCTTTTCAGTTTTTACTCTGCAAATTTACTTCCAGCTATAGATTTCTTCTTCAATTTTTGATCCTCTACATTTCTTAACACAGTTAAAAGTGGGAGCCAGTGTTGATTTTGCTATTTAATGATGCTCCCATTTATCTTACCATTGGATAGGCCATCTTTGAAGTACAGAAGCCCATCAATGATTTCCTCGTCCAGGGTAAAGGGAAGGTATCCACAAACCAACCTGAACAGTAGGACACCTAGAGACCAAACTGTTGCAGGTTTGGCATGATACCTCCCCTCGAGAAGGAACTCAGGAGGGCGGTACTCAAGTGTGCCTAAGAACATAAAAGAGGGAGAGAAACAAGCAGTTCATTTCACAGAAAAAGGGATCTGTACAGGTTTATTTTTGTTCACCAAGGGAAAAACAATGTAAATGTTCCTTCAAAGGTACAACAGCGGCCTTAATGTCCAACTGTGTACATAAAAAAAGTACACTACACTACACTTCACTCTCCCAGGGAAAACATGCATATTTGTATCTTTTCACAACATAACATTTTAAACTAGAAAAATAAAATGAAAATACTAAGTCAAGACAGGCTGTAACTTAAAAATATAACTGCAGTTGTATATAGTTCCTTCAGTAAAGGTACTAAAGATGTACGCTTGAGAGTATAACCCCAGTGACATGAGGTGTACCACCCCAGTGACAGTTTAGGACCTTTTTATCTGAGACTGTCCCTTACCGCCCTAAACTCCATCCTACCTGCAAATTCCTTATAACCAGTTTTCCTGATCCAATCTCCGCAGCCGAAGTCAATGAGCTTGACATCTGAGGTGTCTTTGTTGATCAATAAATTCTCTGCTTTGATATCCCGGTGGAAGACACATCTCTTGCAGCACTGGCACACTGCCTCCAGTACCTGGAGCATTATGGCACAAGCTCTGTCTTCATCAATGGAACCTTCAAACTCATCAGTGAAGCTCTCCAAATCCATGCAAGGATCTGGGCGCTCCAAGACTAGTATGTAGTGGTCAGGCTCGTCGAACCACTCGATGAGCTGTATTATATTCTTACAGATGGGTGGCTGGTTCATCATCTGCAACAGATCCACCTCCACAGGCACAGCCTTGGGTTCAACAGGCTGCAGGGGAGTAAACAGTTACATGGTGAGGAATTATCAGTGAAGAACACTGAAACTTATGGGGGTTTAGGACCATCATGTGTTATTACTAGTATGACTATCAGTCTAGCTTTGAAAGCAAAACCGTGTCTGCAGGTCCACTTACACTTTGAACAAATTCTTCATCTCCTGGCTGAAAGGCTAAGAGCAGAAATACAGACAATTAAAAGTGTAATTTGAGGTGTGAGCAGAACCTGCAAGCCATCAGAAACGCGTCTTCCCTCGTAGACAGCTCCAAAGCCTCCTTCACCTAATTTTTCCCCAGTAACGTAACGAGAGGCAAAGGTGTCTGTGGAAAAAGAACATTAAAACTGTACATTCACTCTTATTAGACCATTTATCATGAGTTTGTGAATCAACATTTACTGGCTATAAGAATAGCAGTGGGGTTTAGTTTTTTAAATTACTGGCTAATCTGTAACTTGATTATTTGTATCATAAAGTGAAATAAAGTATAGGTAAAAGTTATGTTCCGGGTAATGGGCTGACCTGGCTTGGTGTCTTTTCTCTGCTTGTTTTATTGAGTAAGTTCACGGCCCTCTTTCTTTTCTTTCTTGCTGGAGCTCTTGTTTCAGAAATTTTGTTTGATCCCTGTGTGTCATCCTGGCTGCAGCTCTCTTCTGTTCTTTTCCTTTTTGCTCTAGGGCCATCTGAAAACGATGGTTTGAAAAGTTACACAGAAGCTGTAATGGTACCACTGACTGACATTTTTGTGATAAAACAAAAACAAGGTGCCCTGATATTTCAGTATAATGTGCTGGGGTGCATAAAATGAGTAGACCAGGGACAGAGTTAGCAAAAAGCTCAAATGAATAATGCAGTGTTTATCATATTCATATATTTGATCTTGTTTGTAAATTGTGAGTAAAAGTGTGTCTCTCATGTAAAAAATTTAGTTTCTGGTTTTTAACAGTAGATGTCGTACTGTATTTCTGACTAAAACCAGCTGATGATTTTAATGGCCGAACTAAATCCCAGGCTCTGACTGAAATGGATCCCTGTCTGCATTTTAGGGAACTAATTAGGATGCTGACCATTTTTCTCATAGTGTCTAAATTATGGAAGAAGAACAACAGAGGAACATTAAGTGAAGTTAACGATGGCCACTAAGCCATTGAAAACAACTCATCTAACTCTCTTGATTCCCAAAAAGACCCTAACACATTTAAACTGCTGGAAACTGTAGTTAAATGCAATCATGGACCAAGAATGGGTAGCCTGAACAAGTTTTGTGCTTTTTTTCTGACCTTTGTCCCCTGCACTTTTCAAAACGTTAAGCACTAAGCCACAAGAGGCGGTGCGTTACTGCGATTTTATCACAGGGCTGTTCTAAAACTCCCTTCCCCCTGATGAAATTGCAGTACAACACAGTCTCAAGTGGCTTATTGCTTTTATAAAACAGCAGCCAACATAACCTATGATAAAATACACAATTTACAGAAAATAATTTGTTATTATTAATTATAATCGACATTAAGAAGTATTTCACCAAAAATGTAGTTCCTTTAGTGTATGGTGTCGTTGCCAAGCAACCATGAACCGTTTAAATAGCAGAAGAACGTTCAGTCGGCCATCGCTGTATAATGCAGTCATTTTATGAACTTTTTCTTATAGTATAATAATGAAAACATGAAAACATAACACTGTTTAATGCACAAATGTTCGCTTCATAAGTACTTTTTGGTCACTAAATAACCACCGAATCATAACTATTTAGCACAATTCCAACGGCGCCCTTCTTCTAATGCTGGGGCTGAATCTCAAATGGCTCCCTGCTCTCTACATAGTGCACTAGGAATTTACTGTTAAATACCATTTATTGCACCCCAACAGTAAATAATAACACAGCTAAAAAAATCTGACATGTCAGTCCACAATACACATTGGTCCATAATACACATTTCCACTGTGCATCCATATATTTCACCTGAGCTCAAGCCCAGAGAAGTTGGCAGCGTTTTTGGACACTGTTGAAGTATGATGGCTGCTGTGCATAGTACAGTCTTAACTTGCATTTATGGATGCAGCAGCTTACTGTATTTATTGACAATGGTTTGTCAAAGTATTCCCGAGCCGATGAAGTGATATGCGTCACAGAAATGTGTTGGTTTTTAATGCAGTGCAGTGAATGGTCGAAGGTCACAGGCATTTAGCTGCGGATTTCAACTTTATCTATTACATAAAGAGATTTTTCAGGATTCCCTAAATCTTTTGATGTTATTGTGCAACATAGAGGGCTGAGGAATCTTATTTTTATACTGTTGGGTTTTTGCTAAGGTATTTTTGACAAAGCAGCGAGCCTCAACCCATGCTTGTAAACAACTCTGACTTGAATGCACCTTTTATACCCAAGCTTAATTGTATCACCTGTATTTTGAACATTTCACAACATTACTAGTTTTAAATTGCTCCTGTCCCAATGTTTTTGGAACGTGTTGCAAGCGATTCATGATGAATTTGGGGTAAAACATTGAATTTCTTGTGTTTGCTTAAATACAGGTCAGATTTATAAATCATTGCTTTGTATTTGACATTTTTTTGGAACTTTTTTTGAATTTGGTGTGTACATTTGAAATATATCTTATACTTCATTAACTGTTAAAAAGAACAATGATTAATGTTTTCTGGTTTTGTGTGAACTGTTGTTAGAAAATAAAATATCACATTTTTGATACAGTAATATATTCTGTACATTTTTGCATAATTAAATGCGTAAGATGTGAACAAAGTCACCCAGAGTGGTTTGATGTGAAATGCTCTGTTCTAAAGAAAGTTTTTTTGTGATGGTAGTGATAGGAACCAGACGTCTGAAGAGTTTAATGGCTACAGCTCAGTCACACAAAGTTATTAAATGAAATAGTTGTGAATCTGCTGCCTGATGTCTGACTTTACAATAGTTTTGAGAGAAGATTTTGGTCTAAAATTCATTTTTTTAATCTATTCATGGTGGATTAGTATATGAAGGGCATCATAAGGCAAAATAATCTCAAAGGAAAACTCATTTTTCAACTTTTGCTGTACATGACCTGAAGATCAGCACTCACCTTCACGCCTCAAGGTGCACAGACTAAGGTGGAAAGAGTTACTCAAGTCTCATGTTCTTACTTTGTGTTTTGAATATATGTGTTGCACCAGGCTTGAAAAAGACACTATTTAACATCCAGACATATATCCGGACATATTTTTCCAAACATCTTACCTTTATTTTCTTTAATCCATTGTTAAAAATACAATAACTGGTAACATTTCTCAACATTTGTGCGTTGACTGAGTAGAACTTAACTAGTTTACACTCTTTAAAACGTTCTTTAGTGAAGACAATGGTTCTATATAGAACCATGAGCACTCAAAGAACCATTTGCATGCTTTCCACATTTCCACATTCTCCATCGATCTGAAGAACCTTTTCACCATGCAAAGCAGGCATATGAATCTTTGAGTGTTCATTATTCTATATAGAACTATTGTCTTTGCTGAATAACCCTTGAAGAACCATATTTTTTAAGAGTGTAGTTATCACCTGCCTCTATCAGACAATAAATGATCTTCGATTGAAGCCTCTACTGGACGCACTCCTAAATGTTAGCCGCTAGTGGGCGCTCCTGGCTCGAGTTCTTTGCTGGTTGCCATGGTTACCTTGGCATCACCTTGTTAATGTGATGGTTAGCAGCGCTGGCTAACTGCACTGAAGTACTCTAACCTGTCTGACTTTATTTTCAGAGAAGCTGGTCACTACAGTCCAGACATTTACGTTCTTGCTGTGTAGTGAAACCAGTTACATTAGTATTGCGTAACTATTTTGATCTTTTCCACAGTTTAAGGACTTGGACACTCAGGAACTGGAGAGAAAGGGAAAAGAGGAGGAGGTTTTGAAGCTCAGACTTTGGTGAGTCAGTGAGGGGCTACAGTCAGGGTCGGATTGGATTATTCCGGGGCTCCAAGACTGAATGCACCCCCTAAATGCACGTTTTTAAATTAGTTAAGTATTAGAGACTCTGGGCTCTACGCTGCTGAAATTATATCTTGGCAAGTGAAACTATCTTAAATCTATATCTAGCATTTCTCATGTTGAGATTGTTATAAGAATATTATAAGATTATTTAACTTCCCTTCTAGAAAAAACAGCATAGACCAGCAAAACTGGCATATGTTGTGTTTTGATTCTGGTCAACCAATATATGACCATGCTGGGGTGACCAGCTAAACCAGAACCAGACCAGCTTAGACCAGCATAAAATGCTATGCCTGTGTTGTTTTTTCAGCAGGGTTATTTCCAGAGATTTGAGTAAATTTTAAGTTAAATTATATCACTACATTGGCAGATAAATTGTGTTTTTTGGAAATAATGCTAGAAACAAGCTAAATCATCTGCCATATAGAGAGATAATTTGGTACAGAATAATACACAAGTTATAAGTAATGAGATTACTTTTCTTCAGGAAGTAATAAGTAACAAAATCATTACATTTTAGAAATGAAATGAATAATTTGTAATGAATTACTCTTTGGACTATTCTATGTTGGGTTAACAACATGGAATAGTCTATTATTACCATGATGTGCTGGGGTGCATCAAAATTACTAAAAATTATCAGTCGCAAATACCAGCTTTTAAAAAAAATATATGTGTATTTTAAGTTTTTAGCATAAACACTTATGGTATATCTGAATTTTATTTTCGGCTGCCTATTTTTGCCCAGGGCAAAGACCACCCTTGGAAAAAACATGATCATTTTTTTATTCTGATTATTAAACTGAGATATCTAGTATGCAGAATGAAATGATTATCTCTAGTAGATGTATAAACTGCTGTGTCCAAATTTTCTACATAGGAAGCAAACCCATGTCCTCCAATAAAGGAAACCCAAGCAGCTATCTCAGATGGGACCACGGCTAATAAGGACTTGGGATCCACTACAGAGGCATACATAACATTAGACAAAAACAGATAAATTGCATAAAACAGTTAATGCTGTTTGAACTTAAAGGGCTGATATCATGGAAAAACTTTTTTATAGACAAAAGTGTTTTATGTAGTAAACACTGTTAACATTTGAAAATGTACTATTCACTCCACAATCTAAATCCATACATCTTACATAAATCTACCTGTAGCAGTTTAGCCCTGACCATTCACACTGAAGTTATAAGGAGTGTTTCAACCCATACTGCTTTTTGAAAGAGGCACAGTACAGTCAGCCACTCAGAACAGAGGTCATTTATATACATCAGTCTTAAAGGCACAGTAACAAAAACAGCATATTTAGTTCCTACAAGAGAGGGTCAGAATGGTCGCGTAGAAATGAAATGAACTGGTCAAAAAAATTAAACAATGTGGTTATGGGCCCTTTAAGGCTGTTATTCAATATGAACATATAGATTCATGTTATTAAAACAAATATGTTTAAAAAATGAAATTGATAAGGAACAAGTATTCATATATGGCAAATAAATAACATAAGTACTTTGTTGCAAAACTGTTTTGTTGGCAATTACAGCTTTGAAATGTCTACTGTGAGGCGTAATTAGCTTTTTTTTTTACAGCATTGTGCTTCAAATTTGGCTTATATTTCTTTCAGCAAACAATCTACAGTTCCCCAAAATTACAAGCATCCTCACAGTGGACTCGCAATTTCAAAATCCTCTATACATTTGTAGGATTCAAGTCAGGAGCTTCTAAAAAAAGCAAGTCGAAGCATCTTCACTTG